ATGATACGACTGAGTATGCCTCATCGAGGTATTTCGTAGACTGTCTTGGAAGTTTGAAGTAGAGGCCGACTCTGACAATCGGTCACTCTTCTTCTGCTCTAGCAGTAGCCGAGCGTCTGTGTATGTTTTCCTCGACCCGTCCGCCTGAATATGACGAACATGTTTCCTATTTCCTGGAGTAGGAAAACGGTATTTTGTGAAATCAAGGGCAGGTGGCTCCCACTTCCTAGATTTAGGATGAGGGGTCGCCTCTCGCCCTTGAACTGGCTTCCTCTTCCGTGAAGTGGAGGGTTTCTTAGCCGACTACTCCTTGTCCAGAGCAGGCGACTTCTTGTTGATCAACTCTTGAATTTCTCCCTTGAAGTCCCTCATGAAGGTCATGAGTTCGTTCCTTGTGATGGGAGCAGACCCATCAGTCGGCTGCTGTCGAACAGGCGGTGCGCCTGCTGGCTCGCTTCCTGTATGAAGATGTTCCCGTTCCCTCCTTTCGGTATGACGGGTACGTTGGGCCCTTAGGGTCCCGTCTGAAGCTGTGTGAGCTTCAACTTCAAATTCATTCTCAGTATCGTGGTCCGACTGAACTAGAGGGTTGTCTAGGGGACGTCTCTCTTCAGGAGCCGATACAAACGTGGATGCCATCTCAGAAGTACTTTCCCCACAGACGGCGCCAAGATGTTTCGGGGTTTTCTGATGTCCTGCGGGAGAGTTACAATTCCGAGACTGGAACTGGGCGCCTGTACCTGCAAAACAAACGGATGCTCCGGATGATTGGAGATCCGCCTCCGACGGTCAAGTTAGTACTTGATTAAGGAGTAATTAATGCGGAAATGAAAGTGATTGGGTCTCTTTAGGTGAGAGAGTTTAATGTGTGTAATCTGCGTAATCTCCCTTAATGAGGATTAAGGGAGGTATTTATAACCTCGGGAAACGTGTCAATCTAGGTTTAGGTTAACCTTGGGCTGATTGGGCTTCCCACGGAAGTTGGGCCTAGGTGACCGGTTATCCCAGGTGTCATGGGAAGGACACGTGTCGTGTCGTAATTGGTCCATAGTGGACGGATCATTGCTTGACACGTGGCAAGCTCCTATTGGCCCATGTGACGGACACATGGCGGAACCTGATTGGTCCACTTGTCAGATGGTGATTGGTGGGGAAAAATCCCCTAATCACCAAGCTTTCCTCACTTTCTCTCTCTAGAAAATGAGAGTTTCTCTCTCTAAAAACCCTAACCTAGGCTAAAACTAAACTAAGAAGATCCCCCCCTCCAAATGAAGCTAAAGGGATATTATATAACCCCCAAGTAAAAGGACGGAGAAACCAAGAATCGGCCCGGCTACAGGTCGGCACGGACGTGCCAAAGGTTGCACGGACGTGCAGACTTGTTAAAATGAGAACAGTAGCTACTGCCTGACCTTGCGCGGATGTGCAGATTTTTCTGGCGAAATAGCTTCATTTCGGAAGGTCATAACTTCTTCATTACTCATTGGAATAAGGCATGTAAGCAGTCGTTGGAAAGCTCTTGAGATGAACTTTAATCTTCAATTTGAATCACTTCAAAAACTTGAGTAGAAAAAAAGTTATGGTCATTTGAAGTTGACCTTAAGGAAAAAATCCTTCCAAAACCCTTCCAAATGCTCTTATTTCACTCTTAGACACTTTTCCTTGCTTCTTTCATTCTTCCATAGCTCCCTTATTCCCTCTTCTTGTCTCAAACTTCTTTTCTTCTTTGTCTAAAAGCTTCAAAGTGCCATATTTATACCTAAATATGCACCAAAACACTAGCAAACCCGTAAAGCATATGATACACAAAAAATGCATAAAAATAGAGTAATTAGTGAACTAAGCATTGATTTCCTACAATTCTAGGGCTCAAATCACTCTAAAATCATATAAATAACAAGTTATCAGTAGAGCATTATGCAAATGCATAGGGGATGTAGGTTCAATTCCTACATAGGTTGTCTCTAAAACTAAATGAAAAACGCTCAAAGTAAATTAAACATCATTGAAGTTAATGAAAAACACTCACAAATAAATAAAAAACACTCAAAAGTAAATAAATAAAAAATAGATGAGGTGAACTAGAATTGCAGGAACTGGAATTGCTCTAGATGCTTGTCTTCTCACAAAGTATCTAAAACCATTCGGTGACATTCAATGGGAGATAACAAGCAAGGTTTGGGTGGAGCTGTTATGTGATGCTGCTATGCTTTGCTCACCCAATTCCTATGGCGTGCAATAAAGCAAAGACGGGGAATTCTCACGTTAGTGTGGCTGTTAATAGCTCATCTTGGTTTACATTAGGTTTGAAAATACAAAAGATGAATTTGGAAAATGTAGATTCCTATAGTAGTTGGTTAAAGTAAATAAAAAACTATTAAAGTGAATAAAAAAGACTCTAAAGTAAACCTATTAGCTTAAGTGGTAGAGTACTATCGGATGCATAGAGATGTAGTCTCGATTCCTACATTGGTTACCTCTAAAAGTAAATACAAAAAATTCTAAAGTAATTCAAAACATCTCAAAAGTATATTAAAATAGCTAAAAAGTAAATCAAAAGTAAATAGTATTAACTTAAAAGTAAATAGTATTTACTTAAAAGTAAATAATATTAACTCAAAAGTAAATAGTATTTACTTAAAAGTAAATTATATCTACTCACAACTATTCAGTCTAGGGTGCACATTGCTAAAAAGAAAAAGCAGGGTATTAGTGTTTCGGGGTTTTCTGATATCCTGCGGGAGAGTTACAATTCCGAGACTGGAACCGTGCGCCTGTACCTGCAAAACAACGCAGACTCCGGATGGTAGGTGCTCCGCCTCCGACGATCAAGTTAGTACTTGCTTTAGGAGTAATAAATGCGGAAAAAAGATTAAGTGTTTTCTCTAAGTGAGAGTAATTAAGTGGCGTAATCCTCTTTAATGAGAATTTATGATCATATTTATATGTCTTGGGATGCGTGTCAGTCCTAGGTTTAGGTCAACCTAGGGCTGATTGGGCTTCCACAAGTCATTGGGCCTAGGTGGCTGGTTTTCCCATTTGGCATGGGGGAGGCCACGTGGCATGACACAAGTGGTCCATGGTGGACCGATCATCGCCTGACACGTGGCAGACTCCTAATGGCCCATGTGGCGGACACATGGCAGCGCCTGATTGGTCCATTTGTCAGACGATAGTTGGTTAGGGAAAAACCCCCTAATCATTTGCCCCTCACAGGTGGCATATGACTGTTCATATGTCAGCTGTGACAGGTGTCGGCCTGTAACAGGCGACGGTCTGCTACAGGTGTCGCTGGGTGAATGGCCGATGGTTTTTCCCGCTTATTTTTGAATTTTTGGAAGTGACCCTTCGACTTCTCATTTTGCCTATATAAGGGCGTGTTGACCTCAGATTTATTTTCACACTTGAAATCTTTTGAAAGAGAACACTCTGATCCCTGAACTTGCTCTGACTTTTTTGGACATTAATAGCCTACTGCCTGATCTGTCAAGCCAGCTGATTTTTCAGATCTCTTCTATTTACAACGTCACTTATTCAAGTATTCAGGTAACCGTCTGTTCTCTTACTTTTCTTTTTTTATTTCTTTTGAACTATGGTACCTCTAAAGCACCCGGCACGACCTAGGGTAGTGATCAGTCGGTCACTGGGGACGGCTGAATCTAGGACTAGGAGTGCCGCCTGCCCCTTTTCGGACCAAACTTTGCCGTTTATACATAGCTCGACTGTCTCTGTGCAGAACACAATGGCTCAAACTAAGAGAACAGCCAAGATCACCAACTCGATGGCTCCTCCTTCTATGTGCCGGTCAGCGAGACATCTGACCAGGCGCCTGATGATAAAATCAACCAAAGCGGCTCTATCGCTGGGAGCTCAGAGGAGGGAGCCAAGGTGTTCCCTACCCATTTCACTATTGACTTAGCCAGTCGACAGTTGACCACTACAGAAGGAGAGGGGTTGGTCCCCTCTAAGAAAGGCGAGGAGTCGGACTCTTCTAATAGTGAGTCCAGCTCTAGCTTTTCAAGCCATCACTCCCTAAACTCAGAGGAGAGGCACTCCCGACTGCATGAGTCAAGACTCTCTCATGCGGTTGAAAAAGGGGACGAATGGTCGGAACCATCCGCCTCTAACAAGGAGTTGAACACTGCTTACTTCTGCCACGTTCCAAAGGGCCGCATCAAGGCCATGAAGGAAAAATTAGATTCCTTTCTATCGGACCATGTGATGGGTCCAGATTTTGATTTATTCGTGCCGGATGTTGAGGATGCGGTTGTCTGGCCTATGACGATCAGTTATGGGGATGCCTATTTTGGTTGCTATGAGGCAGCCATTAAGGTGGGACTTCGATTTCCCTTGCATCCAGCTGTTCAGAAAATCCTCGATGGGTACGAGGTGGGGTTATGGCAGCTAGCCCCAAACTCTTGGTTTAACATCCTTGGCTATGTGGCCGGATGTGAAATGCACGGGGTGGAGCCAAATTTTGAGGCGTTCACCCATATGAACTATTTGAGTCGGACCCCCAAAGCAAGCGGTACCGGCTGGTACCAGCTATCAAGCCACAAGGGCTTTTAGATGGCAAGAGGGAAAGAAAATAAGTGGAAGGACTGGAGGAACACCTTCTACCTTATCCAAACCTCTGATCCTATGTTGAACAAGCGGTACAACAGATGGAATAGGAATCCGCCCCTCCTTGCAGGCGGTGCTGCCATGCCGCCTGTTCCTCGCAAAGCGAGGGAAGAGATCCTAGACCGAGGGCTCTTCAAGGTGAAAACACAACTCAACCCTGCTAGTGGGGAAATGGAGCAGGTGCCTTTACACTGTATCCCCAAATTCAGGTGGCTATATGACGAATACTTCCTAGCCGCCAGTGGCCTGAGTAGTCGGGTCTCGAGAGGTAGTCGACACTTTGCTCTTTTTTAAGCAGATGTGGTTTTATGTCCTCATTAATTTTTCTAACTCTTGGTTGGATATTTTTTTTTATATTTTTTTATTTTTTTTTTTAGCGGAAGCTATGGACAGTATAACTGCTTCAAGAAAGGCGGCTGCCATGCAAAGAGCCGCAGTAATTGGTAGTCCAAAGCCCTCCTCCGATCCTTCCTCAAAGGAGTCGCCCCAAGTGAGTTCAAACTCTTTAAGCCTTTGTCTTCTTTATATTTGTGTTTATTAACACTCGGCACCCATTTTTTTGCAGGTGGGCGCTTCAAAACCCTCCTCCTCCCACCAACCGGACTCAACGGTTCGGAAACTGACAGGTGGGAGTACGCCTGGTTCGACCAGGAAACAGACGACTGACAAGCAGCCGATCACCCCCAATCTGGGGGAAAAACAAATAAAGTCCATGGTGAGAGTTGTCCCTCTTGAGGAGAGAGATGCAGTCCGGGGAGTCGGTACCCTGAACCTTGATGGTATAATGGGTCTCCTTTCTGAGGTACTCTTTGTATTTGTCATTGTTTATTGGGACGCCTGCTTTTTGTCCTAAGTATCTGACGCCTGTTTTCTTTTATAGTCCCTGCTCCGAGTAAGCGGCCTTCACAAACCAATCAGTGCGAAGAACAAAGAGGTAAAGGCTGCTAAAGCCATGGCCGCCTCTGGCTGTGACAAGGCAATGTTTCAAATTGCCCAAAATGAAATTTTGACAACTGATATTCTTTATTATCAGGCACAGGCCACTGCGGAGGTCTACACTGAGTTGGAGGCGGCCCAGAAGAAAAATACGGAGCTGGAGACCACCATCAAAACCCTCCGAGAGCAGCTGGAGCCTCTCAAACATACTGCGCATCTCAATGAATCTTTGCTGAAATCAATAGAGAATCTTAAAAGCCAGTTGAAGATCCAGGAGGCGGCCCTCACCAAAGAGCTGACGGCCAAGGCTAAAACTGAAAAGATGGATTTGGTTAGGTCTATGATGGAGGACCTGGTCAAAATCAAGAAAATGACCTAGTCCCGCCTCTTCCCAAAAGCCAATTACGCCTCATGGGAGAAGAAGTTCAAAGCTTGTACTGAAGAGTAGAATCGAAGAATTATGGAGGCGGTGGCTGTGGCGGATGAGGCGCAGGCGGTCAGCGAGGAGGAAGGGGAGGTGGTCGCCATTGACCCATTGGAGGTGGAAGTAAACAAGGATTCGGCCCTTGAAGGAAAATAAACTAAGAAGGGTGCTGCGAAGGACCAAGCGCCCACAGTTGATGTCGATCAGGCGGCCTTGAATACCGATGCCCCTCTAAATGCTTAAGCTTTTATTTTTTTAACTTTTTCTTCGGCCTGCATGCCGTTTATTTTTCACTTTACCCGGCCAGGGGGCCGGAGTCTTGAATATTTTTCCGGTCTTTAAGACCGACTGTTTATATGAATTCGGCGACCATCTTTTTGGTCGTCTTTGCTTGTCCAGGCTTCGAATTTTGCTTTATTTTTTCGAATTTTTGCTAAGTGTCGAAGTATCAAGGATCTTTGATATCCGCTTGCGTATCATACCGACTGTTTTGTATGGCCGATAGTTGCGAATAGGTAAAATGTGAGGGCTGCCTATGCCCCTGGACGACTAGTTGTCTTAGTTCTAAGTTAGGCGATCAATCGGCCATCTATCCAGTCGGACCCCAACATATTTTGGAGAATACATTAGGTTTGCTTTACTTGTGAAAGGAAAGTAGATAAATTTCTTGAGTCCTTGCTTATCCTAAAAAGCAGTCGACCTGTGAACCAACTTTTCAAACATGTTTGGTTTGAAGAGAAATCATCTTAGCAGGTTGGGGTACGAGAGCTTTAGTCCACCTCTAAGAAGGCGGACTTGTCATACCTTTTGAATCCTGGCTAAGTATGGGCGTGATTATGGGTAATCTTGAAGGTTACTCTCTCGTCATGTCTAAGCTTGAGTAGTAGAGGTACCAAGCGGCGTAGGCCGGCTAGTCCCCTTGATTCACCAATTTTGTTGGTTATTTACTCAAGTTTTAGGGAGTGACTATAAGTTAACATTGATGTTACTTAGTCGCCATCACTTCTGTTTGAGTAGTCGAGGTACCAGGCGGCGGAGGCCGGCTGGACCCCTTGATTCGCCAATGTTTGTTGGCTATTAAGTGAAAAGGAACCGGCTGTACTTATCCCAAGTAATACAGTCGGTTATCTGACGCGGATGTTAACTGCTAACACTCGTTGGATCAGTGATAGAGTTATCATTGTCTCAAAAACAGCTGCGTGGTTGTCTTTGTTGACAGTCACATAGGTGTCGTGTAATTAGTTTATAGAACAATGTTCCACCCAAAAGGGAGCTGCTCTCCGCGACGAATTTCATCCGAATGGATGCCGCCGGACGCCTGCTATGATGTTGAGACAGGTCGGATTAGTTTTTAAAGTTGGATCAGTTGGCTGGGCGCCTGGTCTGATCATTTCGGCCATAGGCCATCGGTAGTTCTTGATGAACTAAGTATGAGAGAGTAGCCGACTGTTTAGGTACAGGCGGCATGCCCCTCTCTATTGAATGCATATTTGAAAAGTATGGAGAGTAGCCGACTGTTTTACCAGTAGGCATGCCCCTCTTAGTACAAAATAAATGAAGTGAAAAAGAAAACTTTTATTATTAGCTCTCAGCTATTTACATCATTCAAAAATAATACTTTTTGAGATTATCTACATTCCAGGTTCGAGGCAAGAGTTGGACGTCTGGTGTTTCCAAGCGGTCGGTACCGTCTCGAACCTCTTCATAAATTCGATAGGGTCCTTCCCAGTTGGGAGTTAACTTTCCTAACTTATTAGCCCTACCGACTGCTTCCATCTTTCTTAGCACAAAGTCACCCACTTTGAGTGGACGCCTATGCACTCTTTTATTGTATGACCTCGTCATTCTTAGGCGGTAAATTTCATGGCGCAGGGCTGAATTGCCCTTTTTCTCTGGGAGTGATTCTAATGCCAGGCGCATGGACTCCCAGTTTGCCTCTTCGCCATACAGCATTACCCGAAGAGTCGGCTCGTAGTGTTCAATTGGAAGAACAGCTTCCGCACCATAGGTTAGGAGGAATGGAGTTTCTCCAATCGACCCTTTTTCAGTCATCCTGATGGCCCAGAGAACATGTGGTAGTTCATCTGCCCATAGGCCGCCTTCTCGTTCAATCTTCTTCTTAAGACCGTCTGAGATGATTTTGTTGAAAGCTTTTACTTGGCCGTTTGCTTGAGGACGACCAACTGATGCAAAGCAGTGCGAGATGCCTTGGTCTCCCAACCAATTTTTGAGAACAGGCGTCTCGAATTGGGGGCCAATATCAAAAACCATAGACATGGGTACCCTAAACCGAGTGATGACATTTCTCTAGATGAATGAAATCACATCCTTCGTCTTGATTCCCTTGACAGCCTCTGCTTCTACCCATTTAGTAAAGTAGTCGACTGCAACAAGTATGTGCTTCCTGCCGCCTGTAGCAGGCATATAGGGACCCAGGATATCCATGCCCCACTTAGCAAACGGTAGTGGGCTATGGATGGCAGTGAGATCAGTAGCCGGACGGTGAATTAATTTGCCAAACCTTTGACACTTGTCACATTTTTTCACCAATTTCATGGCGTCTGCTTCTAAGGTAGGCCAGAAGTAGCCCTACCGCCTTACTCGTTGAGCAAGCGACCTGCCGCCTATATGGGAGGCGCAGTATCCAGAATGCAGATCTTCTAAGACCTCTTGCCCTTTTTCTGGGGTAACACATTTCAAGAAAGGTTGAAGGTACCCTCTATTGTGGAGTTCCCCCTTTATCATCTTAAAGCTGGATGCTCGCTTTTTTAGTGAGGCCGCCTGGTGATGATCATCCGGCAAGATGCCGTCTGTTAAGTATGCCCTGATTGGGTCCATCCAGGTTGAACTTCGATCTAGAATTCCAATAGGATCCTCTTCAATACTTCTTTTCTCCATAACCTCCTAAAAGACAGTTCTTGGAGTATCATAGGAGGTCGAGGATGCCAACTTTGAAAGAGCATCCACCTGATTATTTTCAGATCTTGGTACCTGAGTAAGATGAAACTCTTCAAGGGATCCGACTGCTTGTCGAACCGCCTGCAAATACTTGATCATGGCCGGATGGGTTGCTTCGTACTCGCCATTATACTGGCTCACTATCAGTTGTGAGTCAGATCAGGCGTCTATTTTTCTTGCCCCAGCCGCCTTGCACATGCGGATACCTGCCAACAAAGCTTCATATTCTGCCTCATTGTTCGAGGCTTGGAAGTTGAAACGTAGAGCATACTCATACCTGCCAACAAAGTTGAAACGTAGAGCATACTCATTGTTCGAGGCTTGGAAGTTGAAACGTAGGACTAACATATGACGCCTGCTCCACAACCATTTGAGGTGGAGCTCCCGTCCACATAGACCTTCCAGACTTGGTCTGGAATTTGAGAATCAGAGGGCCGAGTCATTTCTACAATAAAGTCAGCAAAGGCTTGCCCCTTTACTGCTTTCCTAGGCTCGAATGTGATTTCCAAGGTATGAATTTCTATTGCCCATTTGATCATTCGGCCTGACGACTCCATGGTTGTCAGTGGCCGCTTGATCGGTTGATCTGTGCACACGACGACTGAATGCGCCAAGAAGTAAGGCTTCAATTTTCTAACGGCCATGAAAAGAGCAAGGCCGAATTTCTCCACTATGGGATACCTCAACTCGGCATTTTTCAACACATGGCTAACAAAGTAGACCGGGAGCTGGCAGCCGTCTCTTTCAGCAAGGAGGACGACACTTAGAGCATGGTCAGATACTGGCAGATACATGTAAAGCACTTCTTTGGGCAAGGGACTGACCAGCGTTGGCAAGGAATGCAAGTGAACTTTCAGTTTTTGGAAGCCCGGCTCAACATCCGACCCCCATTTAAACCTTGCCTTCTTCTTGATTGTCTGAAAAAAGCAAAGGCACTTGTCGCCTGACCGGCTGAGAAATCTTCCCAAGGCCGCCAGACAACCTGTTAACTTCTGAACCTCTCGGACGGTGCGAGGTTGCACTCTCGAGCCATCTTCTAATCTCCCCTTAGGGAGCCGACTGTTCCATCATCCTTCTCAAATTTGAGCAGCATAAGAGAGGGGATAATGACAGCTTTAGAGTTGTTCAGTGTGGGTCGTCCCAAGATCATGTTGTAGGCCGAGAGTTCCTCAACTACTAAGAACCGGACCACCATGTGACGACCCTCCCTTTTCTCACCCAGGCGGATGAGTAGATCCACTCGTCCTACTGGGTGTACGACACCTCCTCCAAACCCTACTAAAGGGTGAGATACCGGATGTATGCAGTCAGTTTTGTACTTGAGTTTTGCCAAGCACCTGCTACTGATAACATCAGAGGAACTACCAGTATCTATGAGGATCCGGCCACCTCTTTGGTTGGCCACCTTGCATTCAATGACAATGGGGTCATCATGAGGCCCCTTAACACCTCCCAGATCCTCTTCTGTGATGACAATCTCTGATAGTGGGGCCGCCTCCTGAGAAGCCGCATGCTATGGTGTAGATGATTGCGTCATCAGTATCAAAACTGTCGGCCGACTGATGATTCTTTTTGGCCGAGTGCTTGTTCTTTGAGGAAGTGTTCCCCTTGGACTTCTTGACATAAGAGTCAAGGTCGCCTTGTTCAACCAGGCGGTCTAGGTAGCGCATGAGGCTGATACATTCGTTGGTTTCATGACCAACGTCTTCATGATAATGACAAAATTTGTCCTGGTTCCGATTGCTTGCAGAACCCTTCATGGGGTCCGGCTTCTCGATTGAGATCCGGCTCTTGATTTCTTTGAGGATAGCCTGGTTATCCTTGTTGAATGCATACTTCGGAGAGTATGGTTTGAACTCTTTCTTCTTTTTCTGGGCCGGCTGTTTAGAGGAGTCGGCCGCCCAGACTTCTTTCCTCTTTTTCTCATCTTTATTGGCCGACTGCTTTGGTCGGCTTTCTTTTTTGTCGGACCTCCGTCCATCCGACTGCTTTCCAGTATTACAGTGATCAGTCGCCTGTATATAGGCTTCAGTTTCAATCAAAGCTTCTTGGAGAGTCGCAGCCCTCTTTCGAACCAGGTCAAACTTGAAGGTCGACCTATCCTTAAGACCTCTGAAAAAATCAGTGTAGGCTACCTCATCCGGCAGCCCTTGAATTTGAATCCTCATCAGGTTGAACCGCCTAATGTATGAACGGAGCCCCTCCTTTTCACCCTTCTGAATTGTCCCTAAATCAAGGGTCGTCTTCTTTGCAGGAATGTTCATAGCAAAGTTGGAGGTGAACAAGTAAGCAAGCGTCCTGAAATTATTCACACAACCAGTCGGCAGGTTACCGAACCATTGTTGTGCGATTCCTTTGAGAGTTGCTGGGAAACACTTGCACCAGTGGGATCATCCAACCCTTGAAGGTACATTAGGTTGGTGAACGCCATCAAATGGTCTTCTGGGTTAGTAGTGCCATCATAGGCGCCTACTAGCACATTCTTAACTTTGGCCAGCTGGGCGGCCTCTGTAATTTCCTTGGAGAAGGCGGACAGTTGTTCTCCAAGCCTTAGCAACCGTAGTTGCCAGTCCAAAGGTTGGACACTTTTTGCCGCCTGTCCTCCAAACAGAGGAGGCTGCAAAATATTGTTGTTGCGGTACATACGACATGTTTGGTACCGCCTGCTCTTTATGAAATCCAGACCGACGGGAGGTACCGCCTGTCTGGCTCTCATAGTTTGATTGAGTATACCTCATAGAGGTATTGTGCAGACTATCTTAGAAGTCCGAAGTGGAGGCCGACTCTGACAGTCGGTCATTCTTCTTCTGCTCTAGCAATAGCCGAGCATCTGAGTATGTTTTCTTTGACCCATCCGCTTGGACATGACGAATAGGCTTCCTTTTCCCTGGTGAGTGAAACGATACTTTGTTAAGTCGATCATAGGAGGCTCCCACTTCCTAGAGTTAGGATGGGGGGTCGCCTCTCGACCCTGAACAGGCTTCCTTCTTCCAGACTGAGAAGGTTTCCTAGCCGACTAGTCCTTGGAGGGAGCAGGCGTCTTCTTATTGATTAATTCTTGGATCTCTCCTTTGAACCCCCTCATGAAGGTCATGAGTTCTTTCTTGTAATAGGAGCGGATCCTTCATCCTCCTGTTGCTGATCAGGCGGTGAGCCGGCTGGATTGCTAGGTCCAGCTTGATAATCTACCCGTTCCTTCCTTTCGGTGTGACGGGTGCGTCGGGCCCTTAGGGTCCCGTCTGAGGCTGTGTGTGCTTCAACCTCGACTT